AATGGGCCGGGGCAGGCGGCGGCGGGGGAACATGTCCTGGGCACCGTGAGGGTGATCGGGGTGCGGTGTGGGTCCCTGGGCTCCGCGAAGTGGCCGCTGGCAGAGCTTGCCCTTCTCCACCGGGCACCGGACCAGCCTTCGCCCCGGCACCCCTGCGTCCCAGAGCCGCCCGAGCGCTGCCGCAGGGCCCAATCCTGCCCCAGGGCCTGGTCCTGCGCCCCATCCTTGCTCTTCGCTTGTGCAATCGCGAGAGTTCCTAACACGACAACACCCTGACCCCAAGGGCATGAGCACTGTCTTGGACCCCGGGAACATCCAATGGTGATGGAAATGCATCAAAAAACCATAATGACACGAGTGGTTGACCAAACCCGGCTGCCTCCATCGAAACTGGGCTCCCTTTGATTTTTTGTGTGTTTGTAATTATATTAGAAAGTCTGAGTCGGCCCCGTGCAATTTGTGCTTTCCAGCCTCGGGGCCAAACATCCGCGTTGGAGCAGATCTAAGGGCCATGGTTGAGGCTTTGAGTAAGATCCTGTCTTCTGCTGCTCCCTTTGCACAACATGAGCTGCAAAACACGGGGAGCCCCGCGCCTGGCACAGCCCCGTGGGTCTGCGGGGCTGGAGCGAGCCCTGGCTGAAGCGGGGTTCAGGCAGATGCACCACCCCGCTGTTCAGAAACCCCTATTGTTTTTATTGGAACTGAGCTAATGACGTTGGTTAAAGCTCCCAGGCGATGGCACAAAGCTCGTGCCTGGTGTGACTGCAACAGCGCTGGCCTTCACCTCTCCCAGATTTGCTGACTCTGGTTGAAAACCGGCCCCGGGCATTGGGTCGGGGTGAACTCAGGGTTGGAGGGCAGATTTCACCCATCCCTGAGGTCCCCACTGATGCCTCTGGGGTTTGTCTCTAGATCTCCTTTATGTCCATGGTGGGGGTCTGGTGGCTCAGAGAGCCAAGACTAGCAAGGAGAGGGGTGCTGGTGGTGGGAGCCTTGGGGCCTCCGATGTCCCCAGCACGGCCACCTGCGCTGCTGCCTTCTCCAGGTGGTAATAACCAGGAGTGGCCAGAGCTGTCCTGCATCGTCCAAGGCTTCTCCCATGAGATGGTGGTCCCCAAGGGCAGGAGGGATGGGCTGGCTGCATCTTGGGGGGAGGGGATGGTGTCTCACCCTCTGCGGTGACAGCCCCACGCATGGGGCTCAACAGAACTGAGGTATTTCCCCCAGTCTTTGCAACAACGGGGGGTTGATAGATCACATATGGCATAGGGGAGTTGTGTCACCTGACATTCTGTTTCTGGGTGAATCGTCCCGTTCCCAACAGCTCTTACTTTTTGTTTTCATTCCCTGGGGAAAGCAGCTCTGCTCCAAAGGTCTGTTGTCCTTTGCTGCTGACCTTTAGACTGCAGTGGCCTTCGATAGTAAACAACGGGCAGCTCTCCAGTCCCCCAAGAGTGGGAAAGCCTGGGCAGGGACCATGCAATTATATACACTCATTAACAGGCGCACATGGGGGAGAGGACCTCTGGTGACAACCTGGATGGAAAAAGGGCTTTGCTTTGGGAAGTGTGGGGGATTGTGGGTCTAAACCCCCCGCTATGTGCTTAAAACACACCCGGCATCACGATTCCCTGAAGGCACAGTGCAGGATTCAGCACAGGCGCCTCTTTCACGCTGCTGTGGGTAGGGTGCTCTCACCCTACAAGGAGGGTAGAGGCATTAACACAGCGAGTGTTGGGACCCTGCGTGCGTCCAGGCTGGGGAAAAGCTAAAAAATCGCTGATCTCCCGTATCCTCCACCTCGGGATTTTTGAACAGCATTGAGTGTAGATACATATATTAAAAAAAACAAAAACAAAAACAAAAACAAAAAAACCCGCCAAAAACAAACAGAAAAACCCCCAAACAACCAAACCCCAAACCAGACCCAAAGCACACAAACCAGAGGAGTGAGCGGCTGAGGAGTCGCCAGAGAGGCGTGTGTGGAGGCGCTGCTACTAGAGAGGAGCGGTAGGAGCCGGGCGTTTTGTAGGGTGTTTACG